AAAAAAAAAAAAAAAAAAAAAAAAACAGTCTACGCCGTACGTGTCTATACGCATTACAGTCTACACATTACATGCAACCAACTTACAGTATCTTACTTACAGAAAAAAAGGACTTTAACTAACAGCTTTGGGTTACATTGACATGCAATATGACAGACACTATAGAAAATAATACAAGTACACTAATTACAAGACAATATTTATTACTAAAAAAACAATAGAAAGGTTACACTTGTTGAGGCACGCTACCTGGGGTATAGTATAATTATAAATTACGATATTCGCTTAACGAAATTTAGCATAGATCTCTATATTACGTTAAAATTACATTTGTTTATAGGGTGACGCAGTGCTCATTGCTGATTATCAGGATCTAGCTATTCAATTTCCGCTATTTTCAATTTTCCATTGATTATTTAGTTTTTGTTTGATTTGATTATTAAATTCCGAATTTCCACCTCACTAGATGTTGTGATCATATGGGTAGAGTAAAATCATTAAAAAAGATCTGCTGCTTAGTCATATTAAATTGGGATTTCTGTTCGTTGTTGAACCATATCATCATTTCGTAGTAAAAGTCCTCGGCGACAGAGCAAGCCAGGAATGTTTGTTCGAGGGAATCTGGACTTTTGCAAAAAGAACATTCATCATCCGGTTTAATTTTGCATCTTTTAAGTTCCTTTTTGGTTACTAGTATCCTATGAAGTAGTTTGAAAGAGAATTGCCTTACTTTATTGTCTGCCGACATTTTTGAGACGTTCTTAAATACGTTATTCCATTTTTTGGCGAAGAGGGGGTAATGTTTGGACCATGATTGAACTGATGTTGGTTGTGTTTCCCATTTCACTTGGAAGAGTGAGTAATAATCCTTGCACCGCATTTTAGACAAACGGATAGTTTTTCCTTCGGCAAGCTGGTATACATCAGTTTCTTCTGTGATTGTTTCTAGAGGTTTTTTAATAGTCATAGCTTTTAATTTAAGACTTTTGGGAATTACAGAGAGAATTTGGCAATAATAAATGAAATTGACTTCAATGTTGTATTTGGTCTGAATTCTTCATAAGATAGATAATTGCCAGTATTCTTAAGAAGATCTTGCACAAAATCTACCCCACGCTCGCTTCAGGTTTTCCAATACAAAGATTTTCCTTCGATGGTGATATCTTTGTCGCCTTTGAAGCAGTCATCCCTATATTTGTCTCGTAATTCACTAAAGGAATCTGAGTAAAAGGGGGAATATTGTTGTCTAAATTTTTTGTGTTATAGTTGCATTTCAAGAGAAACGGTAATCCTCCATATCTATTGAAGTAAGCATTGGGAATTGCTTTCCAAGCATCACTGGATTCACTTAGTAACCTGCCTATCCAGCTTAATCGAAGTACCTTAACAGTTGTTCTAGCATTTGAAAAGTTTAGACCTCCGACACACGGTCTTTGATACAGTACGGTTCTTTTTTTTTCCTTCCTATTTGTTTCGCCAAAGACTTCCTCTGGAACACATAGCATTGAGGCTGAGCATACAATTTTAGAACTAATGCTTTTACCAATAAGGTTCGTACCATAAGGGTGAAGTCCCGAGACAGCCTCACATTTAGTTTTGTTTCCATTTTTTGAATTTTGATGAAAAAGTTTTGGTCGTTATCCTTATTACGATTGTACGAAATAAAGATTCCCAGTGTTTTAGTTGGTTCATTAGTTATAATACAGGTAAAGGTATATGTCGGGTATTAATGAGCTGTAGGCTGTAGGTATATGTGGAAGATTATTGAGATGTAGGCTGTGTAGGTATATGTAGGGGATTAATGAGATGTAGGCTGTGTAGGTATATGCAGGCGATTAATGAGACTGTAGGCTGTGTAGGTATATGTGGAAGATTATGGAGATGTAGGCTGTGTAGGTATGTGTGGAAGATGATTGAGATGTGAGCTGTGTAGGCAAATGCGGAGATTATTGAGATGTAGGATGTGTAGGTATATATGTGGGGGATTAATAAGATGCAGGCTGTGTAGGTATAATATTCAAAATGGCGGACATAACTTAATTTAAGGCTATAATATGCTAATTTGCCAAATATTCTTTATATGCACGCTTATGTTCTGTAAAGGCTTTGTAATTTATGCTATACGTACAGTTATATATTAAAACACGCGTTCACCTTGTGTATCTTGAGTTACAGTAGCCAGATTAAGCCTTTATTGATGACGTTCGTTTAAGGTTCTCTCTGCCACCTAATATTACACGTTGCAGCGAAAGGGTAGTTCAAATTCGTCGACAACGTCTACCGTCTACGAATGCCCACGAGCGAAAACAACTTCCGGTGCCTCCCCGCCTAAAGCATCACAATTTTCAATGTAATTCCAACAGATATCATTGTCTCCGCAACATTTAGATTTGAGGTCAATTAAGTAGCGAAATCCTCGAGAACTGGAAGCTATGGAAAGAGAAATACTGTATCAACTCGCCATGTTCAAGGACGTTATCGATGGTGATGGCCTTTGAAGTGTTTAAATCCCTAAGCTATACTGAAGAAGAAGATGCAAACGATTGCCGCGTGGTAATGGGGAAGGTGAAACGGCGAAGTAACGTAAACGTCGGCGAAGTAACGTAAACGAAATTGTTTCAGCAGGAGGGAAAAAATTTCCTTGTGAAACGCTCGACAACTTTTAAATCGCTGAATTAAAAAGAACCTTGGCAAAGAGCTGCAATTTATGGTTTTTTACGGTTTTTACACGATACTCTCACCTGCGTTCGACTGGTCTTGGGATAAAGCAAGAGCAAAGCACAAAGCAGCCACTTAGGATGACAGACCCCAGTCGTTAAACAAAGTGTATCGACCTTGCAGCATCCGAGATGCAAATATAGGGATCTTAACAATGACGACGGCGACGCCGAGGACAACGTGTTGTAAAATCTTTTTCTGTGTGGCAACGTTTTTATGTCTGAAAAGGATATAACGTGGCTTTTGAATTCAGTTAGGTCTTAATAACGACCTTCATTAAGTGACACACAAACGTTTCCCTTGTGTAGTCTCTCGTTGTTTACACAGCTGTCTTCTCGGGCGGTATAAAATGACACCAAACTCTAACGTGTGTTATCGTTTGAACCTTTTTGGACGAAATTCGTTCAGACCATTTATACGATATGGTGTGTCATATTCTCTCGATCTGAAGCACTGCCAAACATAACGCTGAAGCTCATAGTCCTTGATCAAAGTTTAACTATTTTCAATTGACTTAATCCTATAATTTGTGTCACAATTGTTTGGACCTATAGTACCATAAGATCCACGAAGAGCAAATACATCAGAGGTCAAGAAAAGGACGAAAAAGACCAGAAAATGGTGTAACGTGTACCACGATTTGATGAGCTTTTTTAAAGACTCTATTTACTATTTACTTTGAATGAATCATTCTAGTTCAAAGAACGTTCACTTATCACGGAAATCTAATTGGTAAATCACGCATCACGTGCTTGTGAAATAGCAAATCACGCACACGTTATGATCTCCTGTCCTGCGTCACGCGGCTAATTTGGTCTCAATCACGCATCACGCTGCTAATTTTGAGGCGATCACGCGTCACGCAAAAACCCTTTGCCACCCTCCCCCAATGATTTCAGATTTAGTTGTTTGGCGCAACGGTCCGTGTAACTGTATATAGGTGCAGAACTTTTTCATTCAGCACAGCCAGTTTGGGGGAAGAAAATTATTAAACGTTAAATCCATCAGCCCCAAAATGAAACATCGTACGTTACCCAGATTTTTAGTCATATCCTGCACGTAATATTCTGTATGTGTCTTTTTTGCTGTTCATACCTTTGCAGGAACATGATTTGCATTCTATACATAAGCTAGGTATAAAATAAGTTCATTTTAGCTGTATATCTTGTTCAAACTCCCTTGTGAAGTCTGTGTTATCAGAACAAACCGGTCGGATAAAACAAAGCAAGGTGATAAGATCTGTTGCTATGTGCTTCTCACTAGTACTTATTTTTAAAAAAAAAAATTAATAATTGTTTTTAAAAAATGTAGCAAAGGAGGTATTTGCAACGTTGTATAGAATATAAAAAAAACACTTGTTTGAAAAATCAATTGCTTTAATACGATTCAGTTTAGATATACAGGATTGCAGATTACACTTAGGAGGAACCTTTTTGAATAATTTCTCAACCGTAAAATAAAAATAAGACAATTCTAAAATGTTGTTTGGGTAAATGACTCAGATGCACCTCTGTTTGACCTCGTTTCCATTACAGATACCGATGAGCGATGTTTTCTGCCGCATAGTAACTTCTTTATGGCCACTTTGAGTTCACGGTTGTACCGCGTCAAAACAATGGGGTTTATAGCTGAATTGGCAAACATCAGGCACAGAAAAAGACGCATGACTGAAGATGGTACTCGTGACTTAAACTTGCTTATCGTTAATACTGTGAAAAAGGGCATCCAGCACAAGATCCAAAAGCCAATCAAGATGGCGACCATTCGTCCCGCCTTCTTCTCTCTCAGTGAGGAAGCTCGCCCTCTGGTCTTGGTGGTAGGCCCTTCAAAGTCTGTGGAAACCTCCAGGGCTGCTATCTGTCTCGCCTGACCTCTAGCGATAAGGTATATGCGATAATACGAAAATGAGATGAGCATTAAAGGGATGAAAAACCAAAAGAGCCACTCAGCGCTCATGTATATGGCTTCGTTTATAATGTGTTCGTCGGAAGGTTTCGTCGTTGAGCATACGACGCTCTCCGGGCGCCAGATCAGGGGTGGGAACGCCAGACAAAACGCTGTAAGCCAAACTACCAGTACAATGGCAGCCGAGCGATGGGCAGTGACATAACGATTGAAATGAAGGGGGTGACGAATGGAAATATAACGAACCAACGTCATGGCCGTCAGGTTGAACACGGAAGCGGAACCAAAAAGCACACCGCTCAGCAAGATTATGTAGCAAATCGATGGATGAGGCGGTTGGAAGTTAATAACGACTTTTTCCAATGCTTGGTAAACAATATCTGTACATGCTAACATCAGGTCGGCAACTGCTAGACTAGCGACAAACGCATTGCGTAGACTGTGAAGGTTGTGGTTCAAGTATATGACATAAATAAGGAGGCCATTCCCCGCGACAGCGAAAAATACCAAAGAAAACAATAAAATTGCTTCGAGGATTTTTGCAGAGGACATATGAATGTCGTCGATGTGAGTTTCACTCGAGTTTAGCCTTGACACGTTGTTTTGAATCTGAACCAGACTCATAATTCTTTCCGCCGCAGAGGTACGGTCTAGTCTCAAAGCAAATCTTAGTCTCCTTGAAAAATTAAACGCCATCCATTTCCGCACAAGTCAGACAACGGAAACAAGTGACAAGCAATTCAAATCTCAAGTGAGTTTCTAGAGTAACCAAGAAGTAATTTATGATGACTTTAAGAAGTAAGTCGACAAAACGAACCGGATTCGCCACAGGAAACATCAAATTAGAATTATCTGCATGAGGTCTTCTTCCTCGGTCTTTTTCTTGTCAATTTGACAGGAAGGCTGTGGTTGGCTCTTTAGAAAAGAGCTTTTAACAGCTTTTGTGGTACAGATATTCGCCTTTTAATCTGTACGCCGGATCAAAGGGTGGAATGGCAATAGCGCAGTGTGAAGCTATCATTGACAAGGGAGTCTGCGAATAACTGAAAAGAAATTCCAAACCCATTTAGAAAGACAGGTGTATTTGATTTTCAAGTTCTAATTTTAACTTGGATCAACATAAAACAAGGAAACCAATTTGACTGGAGAACATGCAATTCATACAATTCAAAAAAAAAATAATAAATAAGGAGAAGTGCAAGAATTATCTGTGGTTTAGGATCGACTTCGCTATACTTGCTTTTTCAGTGTTGGAAAAGTACTCCCAAAAAACTAATTGAATAGCTACTGTTGACGTTTTTCGTACGTTTATAGACTCCACTTGTTCGTCATATAACGCCCGTAGAGCCTGTAGAGAGACTCAACATGAATTTACTTTATGACATGATAATATTTACCATTAATAAACTGTGTCAATAAAAAAAATAAGAATGTTCCATTCCTTTTGCATACTGTAATTTTAGAACACCTTATTTGATTTGTATGAAGATCAGCCAGGCTTCTGATCTAGTGACAAATATAATTCAACTGTAGTTTATTTGGCAAGAAAATTTTAAAACCCTTCAAAAGATCAGTATGTGTTCTTTTTTACTGCTTGTTTCCCAGGTTTCCCCTACCAGCAGGGGTCCGTTTTGGACGAACATCCGAGGTTGCCTAGTAACCCTGCGCGTTGGTACTGCGTTGAAATCTATTAATAGCGTTTTCTGTCATGATATATATTGTCAGTGATCCACAAGGTACCTATTTTAATTGGGTTTAATTTTGGCAACAGCAAATTACAACAATTGCAAAGCCGCAAGGGTCTTGCATTCAATGCGATCTCGTGAGAGTAACCGAACTTTGAAAAGGGGCTCATTCTCTTGATTTCAATTGGTAAATCTCTATTCTCTCTATTTTTGTTCACTGTTTTATTTTACGGTAGCTAAGCTTGCAAACGTTTCGCGTATATTTATGGCGCGCTAACTCTTTAGCGCAGATTCAGTTATCTTACAATCAATATTAATGTTTCCGAGGACGGGATTTGAAAAAAATAGTTTTTTTGATTACGGCTCGTTAAAGCGGCAGGGTATAAAACTCACAGACGAACGAATAGGAAAACCTAATACTTGATGAACAAGGCAATCAGCATGATAATAAAACTAAATAGGCAAGGGAGTTTACGAAGAGTTTCCGGTCTGTTTTCATCCCGTTTTCCTAGAGTGAGAATTTCCATCTAAGTGACACTTTCAAGGGGCTCACTTCTCTTGTCACGCGTAGAGCCCGCGTGATGCAAAAACATATATATATTACGAACTTTTTTCAGGAGAGAACATGTAGAGTTGGCCCCTATTGATAGCATTCCCAGTTTAGAGACACGCAAATCAAATCAAGTCATACTAGCTTTCCTCGTTTAATTAACTTTAAATTTGCTCTATACACAGTTTCATCAAAGAAATTTTCTCCCACCAAACATATGGAACACTCGCTAGTTTAATCAAGAAAAGCGATGCTGAAAATAAATGTTGTGGAACAAATAATCATGCATAAGATGACATCGGTTGCCTCACCACTGTTGTTAATGAACAATTTCAAATCAGTTCCCTGTAAGACCAGTTGTCAAATCGGCTAGTATGATATGCGAAAGCTTAAAATTAATTGTTGTAATATTATTTCAACTTGTTTTGAGAACCATGCCTGGAGGAAAATATAATTAAACATTTGAATACTACCTTCCTAAGTTATTTTTTGCATAAATATTACATCATGAAGCTAATAAAAAATAAACTACACGCTACGCAGTTTCAAAGTATACCTTTAGGCTCCTTTTCGCATTTCTCTTATCTGACGCTACAAATACATCCCTCTATAAAGGCCCGGCAAGCCGTGCAACTAATTTCAAGAACAGAGCGGCACAAAATGTAAGAACGTCTTGGCACATTAAACGAGGGAACACAACAGCTTATAACCACGTGTTTGCCAGTTCACGCCTTCCTTTACCTCCAGATGTCAGCTGGTGGTTGTGATGATGGCAAAACCAATAGTGATGAAAGCAAAGTGAAGTTTTCAGAAAAACACTAAAGCAGGTTGTCACGGGTAGATGAACGTGGTGACAGTGTATCTGTTGTCAAATCCGAGCAGCAGAAATAGCAAAATTTTGACCGCCAAATGAGTGATCACTTTTACTTAGGAAATAGAGCCAGTTTATTGACAGAAGCAAAGACACGATTTAATTAGTCTGAAAAACCTGTTTATATCAAGTTGCAAACTTGAACTTGAGCACCTGGCCACGCTTTTGTCCTTTATTGACCAACATCAATTTCCTCCTAATGGCATCGATACACTGTCCAGTAAACAAATAGGGAGAATTAAGACAATTACCAAACTAAAACCGATGTTTGCCTTGATATACTACTTAATTCTCAAAACTAAATTTGAAAGAAAATCTGGAAATGAGTAAAAAGAATTGAGATATTGAACTTGAGTTGAAAGCGTAAAAGCTTTACCAGACATGAAGTTGTGAATAATTAACGAAAGTCTCATAAAGATTATTGAAGAAAAAAAGAATAACAAATAGCTACACGAATATTTAAATTACCGCTTTTATCCGAGTTTGGAGAACGAATAGTTACGATTTTTACAACATGATACTTCGGATTGGTTTGATTTCGGTTTTGTCGGCCTTATTTGGATTTGTAAGCTGTTATGTTGGAAGCCCAATCGACATGTCGTGTGAAAATGGAGTGTGTTTAAGGAAAGATGATCAAGGACCGTGTGTTGTTACCGACGACGAACAACGCCTTTTCAGATGGGATCCAGTCAAGGTAAAATCCGTTAACTAGTGTTGAAGTGTTAGTTGTAGAAAAAAATATAGTTTTTAAGCTGATGTGATTAAACCGTAAACTTGCCCATAAGTCGAGCTAAGAAGGTAGAGCTCGGAAAGCGAAAAATGTCTGCGGCACTCAATTAAAAAATATCTGAATGCGAAGAGCACGAGGTAGAGAAGGCTAGCTCCGGCCGATCCTATTCAACGAAAAGATAATCACTTTTATTAGATAGTCTTAATTACCGCGGCGATTTGATTCGAATCATCGCAACCGCTTTAAAAGTCAGTTAAATTAAAAATATATATATACAGTATACTAGCGAAAGTGAACCATGGACTGGAATACATTGACAGGCGTGAAAAACAGACCTTAGGAAATGTGAAGAAAATAATCACAAACCATAAACAAAACCAATGAAACTGACCAACAGGATGTGAATTATGACCATCAACATATTTACACAGGCAAAAGAACAGGTAACGACTGAACTTTTAAATTACTGCTTCGATTCTGTTTCTTTGCAGTCGGTGCATGACCAAGAATTGTCTAAAACTGGCGTAACTGGGATCTAGCACACTGACTATGCGAACTAGAAATTGTTCTCAACCGAAATTGCACTATTTTATTTTAAAATTAGTATTGTTGCTGTTTGTTTTTGTTTTTTATCGACAGAAAGGTCACGTGAGAGAGTTAGAACTGGAACCTGGTAAAAAATACAAGATGATAACACTGGCGTCTAAACCGCCAATATTTGGTAAGAAATTGTCAATCTGAGAAAGTTGCTATACTTTTTCCTGTCAAAATGAGAAATAACGTGATTAGTCAAACCAAGTAACTAAAATAAATCCAACTGGGAGATGAGGTGGGCAATCTCGCAATTGACAGTTTGTGGTGACTGCCGAATCTGTTAGGTGTGGTCCCCCCCTAACCATAGCATGCACAATCAATATATTTATCCGGTTTTAAGGGAAGATTACGGTTGGGTTTTGAAGAAAAATGGAAACAGTCGTCTCTGTCTTTCTAATTCTATCTCCCCTTTTAACAATGCCGATCGAATCAATCTAGTTTCTATACTATGCCAAATCAATTTCGTTCCGCTATAATACAGACGTTTTTGAAAGCTAGTCGATTATCTGTTTTTGGTTACCATGGCAACCACAGAAAAGCAGTTGTTTTGGTGGATTTTATTTCGCGAAAATTATCTCAAGGCCCTAAACTCGGTTGAAACGTACTCAGCCTTGTCAACTCGTCATGCCTTGAAATATGAAACTTTCTTTAACTTAACAGGTTATGGTGCATATTTTCCGGCTTAACTGTAACGGTAACTCCCCTCTAATGTTTATCTGCAACTAAATGTGCAAAAATTGATGTCTTTCCTCGCCCTCTGATGACTTATACCCATTGAGTGTCTGTGTTTTTCAGAGCTTCCCGATTTTTTGAACGACGATGAATCTACGCGGATTATCGACCTAGCTGAAATGTTTGGTCTGGAGAACAGCTACATGCACTCAGATGAGTTTCAGGAGCAGCACAAGAAAGACGTGAAAGGTAACCAATCGATCTTCATATGTTCTTAAGCAATTAATTCTAGTACTCCTTATATCGATATTATAACAGATCATATTGCTTCGGCTCTATGTTTTTACTGATATTGTTCCAGTTTTTTGGGGTTTTTTTTGTTTTTTGTTTTAAATAATCGCCATAAAGACAACATTATTGATGAGTCTTGAAGAGCCAGTAAACCGTCGAAAACAGAGATGAGTGACCGTTGCATCTATCATACAGTTTGAAACTTCTGTGTGCTTCTAATATCATATTAGAATAGTCTTCCCCAAAGGGACTTCTAGCTCCAGATCCTAAGCCAAAAGGCCCCGCCCACAGTTCCTCATCGGCCAGTGACTTGGTGAAAAATCCCCAGTTGCGACTGACAGTGTTTCGATTTGACCAATGATAAGGTTAATACTGAATTTGTTCTTGTCGTTAGGACATGCAATTGGAGCTGCCGGGATATATCTAAGCTGGGACAAAAATCAAGACAAGGAGATTACAAAAGATGAGGTGTCCAACTTTTTTCTTGTTAATTGTTAGCTTTATGTAATGTTATGAAGTATTCCAGATACTAGTCGGGCATCTCGGCTTTACTGCGCATGTTCCACCGAATTCAGTTGGGGGGAGAAGGGAATGGCGTTTCTATGACTGTCATCCTTAATGGCAAAGATGAGCCTAAGCTTGATCTACTCTGTCCCATTCAGCATGAAACTTCTTGAGCCTGAATCATACCGAACGTGGGAGCAATTTGGGAAAGGTGAATAGATAAGGGAAATATATGAAAATCATCTAATCATGGAAATTATCTCACGCTCCTATTCAGGTTATTCACTTCTCAAAGAAGTATAAATTCCTTTACATGAGTCTACAAGAAGTCGATGAAATGTAAGTGGAAAATTGTTAATGGAAATTAAGCAAATTATTATGACACTTAAACCACTTCCAGTCCACGTGTGCCTTGCCGAAATAGGATTTTCTACAATCGATGCGACCACTAGTTTTAGGACGAAACCTAATTGTGCGTCACGTTTGAGATTGCAGCTTTATGTTTAATCTGTCAGCATGTATAGACAATTGTATCGTACTCTCTTGATACCTTTTTATTTTTGGGCAACTTGTTTCTCAAGAAAATGACGCGATAAGTTTGCGCAAAACTTTGACTTCCCTCAGTGTGGTTATAGTGTACTGTGTGCGTTGTAATTGTCATATATGATAAGCCGAAAATTCAAATAACTTCACTGATAGATAAACTCTGCCATTCGTAAAATCTGACCTCAATTACACTTTGCAGGATAAATAAACTGAAGATCAAAGCATTTGATGATGGTATGTTTATAAATATGATTTAAATATTGGCACCTTGAGACAAAGCTTGATTACAAACACTCTGCAAATGAGGCTCTACTGACGAGAGGGCCTCAGAATTTTAAGTTTAAAGTGCTGTATAACGACCAAGAATATTACACCAAAATTGATAAATTGTGCTCACCCCCCTTCACAAAACAAATTACCTTTCTTCGCCTCATAACGTATTGAGCCAAAGTTCCAAATTCATCGATATCGACACAATCAGGTCATCTTTGTCGTGTGTTTTAACCCTCTACAGATGATTTCCAGTTATCTTATATTTGCAGGCAAGGTGACCTTCCAGGAGTTTCGTAAACTCCCAACAGCCGCCATGGATGATTACATGAACAAGCTGAAAGAATCCTCACCAATTCACAGAGAAAGGAACAGCAACCAAACCTGGCTACATCAGGGAAAGTTTGCTGATAAAGTCATGCAAACGTTGCGAGCGAGGTAAGCATCACCGTAAATCTTCGACCGGGTTCAAACGAGTTTTACAATGCCACCGGTTTGTTTTTTTCCTTTTTTTTTTTTTTTTTGGCCTTAAAATCAAACCGATCTTAATTGTCCTCGGCGATTCTCTTTGACTCCAATGCGCGAATCTCATCGATTAAGGGTATTTCTCTCCTTTTCATGTTAGTGCGCACTCGTTCTCTCGTACTGCGGATGATGCGTACGAGAAACCTACGCTACTTTTCAGTGATTTTATACAAACATAAGTACCATGATGCTCTCTCTCATGGTATTTAACCGTAGATCGATGGATACTTTTTGCATTTTGAGTCTGTAAATTCATAGACTAAATTGAAGAACATTATCAGTAGAAAGCCTAAGAATCAAGTTTCTCACCGGATCATCCTGTAATGTGCAGAAGTGTGCGCAGTTCGAAATGGAGCACCGTCTTTAAACATGCTAATACGTTTTCGAGGGTCGTTGAAAAAGTGTTGAGTGTAGAGGCGGATGTAAGGCCACTTTTTAAGTACCTTAGCAAGATATATTAGCAGTTCCTCCCCAGTATAAAAAGGGTACATGCTCTCTAATTTTTTAAAGCTTCTTCAAAAAATTTGTAAAGAATGATACCTTAGCTTTAATTTAGATCGCTCTAAGGAAATTAAGATTAGAACTCACTAGCATTTAACCTGTTTTCACAGAATAAAGAAATTAACCAAGTTATCTGATCGCATTATTCGTGGCAGCGAACCTCTACAAGTAAGTGATTTTAATCTATTAGTTCTTTTTCTTTTTCTCTGCCTCTTAAATTTTAAATCGATCGGTCATATATTTCAAGCCAAACCAAAGCGAAAACAGAAAAGAATATCTCAGTTCAAACTGAGTTTGATGCTGACATGTCCTATTTCGGGTAATAACAAACCTTCTGGTCCGCTAATGAGTTGAAATATGATATTATTTACCCTTAGGTTGTCAAGTACGATCCGACTGGACATTACAATGTGCACCATGACGCACAACCAATCGCCAGCCATTCACACCTAAAATGCTGCCATCAAAACGTCACCAAGTTGCCCGCCTGCAGGCTGTGCAGGTCAGCAGACATTCACATGCATGAGCCACATGCGGTCCTCAGTTCATCATTGCTTCCTGAGAGTTATTGTATTTTAACGTCAAATGCTCAAATTCACTATCGGAGCATTGTTTACACGAAATTTTTTCAGACCGCGTTGTGTACTCGTGGATATTCTTTTCATTTTTGCTACTTTGGGGATTTGTTCCTGACAAAATTTGCAATTTGTATTTTTAAAGCGAGGTTTGGTGGTGAATTTGCTACAGACGTCAACATACAAGAGACCTATTAAACCTCCAGTTTGTGTTAGAACGGGCTGCTGTAATTGTAAGTTCAAGTCGAATTTTCAATAGTACTTCCAGTCCGAATTGGTCAAAGAAGAACGAAAAGCTCGAGAACACTTGTCTCTTACTCTTTTTACAGGTACATCACCATATTATATTACTTGAATGACGTTGAAGAAGGAGGGGAAACTGCTTTTCCAGTCGCTGACAATGAAACATTCGATCAAAAGGTAGTTAAATCTGTAACACGTCACCTGATCTGACAAGGTTCTAAGATTACTGGAGCTAAAAGCTGAATAGTCAAACACATGATAATCACTTGCAGCCATTCATGATCAACCTTTGGTAGCCATATTGTAAAGAATTAAAACCCGGCTGGTGACAAAAGCACACAGTGCGTTACAGCTACCAGATCATGTACACAAGGCACCTGATGTATACTTTGAAATTGTCTGTTGTCCATTGACTGTCACAACCTCCTGCACAAATGAACGAAAAACAGCAATTCTCTATCTTCTCTTTTATAGTTATACATCAATTACAATATTTCTTTATCATTTCTCTTTCAAAGTTGTATATAAAAACCATGAACGAAGACAAATTCAACCTAATGGAATTCTGTCATGATGGCAAACTAGTCGTCACACCCAAGCGAGGCAAGGCGATCATGTGGTACAATCACTTTGTAGACGAAGAGACGGGCTGGCTCGGGGAGAGGGACGACTACACTCTGCACGGGGGGTGTGGGGTGAAGAGAGGTTTCAAATGGATTGCCAATAATTGGATTACAGCCCCGGATGCATCTCTTGCGCATATCAGAAGTAATTTTGAAATCAAAGAAGAAGAAGGCGTAGTTTCATAAAAAATTAGCTGACATAAATAGATGAATAAAATAAGGGTTTAAGCTATAGAGCTAGCAGAACTCATTTCTGATCATTGCTAGCGTTATTTGACTACCAGACGAAGTCATTTGTAGCTAGCTCATGTAACTTTATAGCGTACTGACCAATAGATCAACTTAATACATTTTTCTATTTTTCTAATATTTTTAAATTCAAAAAATAATTGTTGATGAAATGCGAAATGTCACAATCGTTGTGATCTGCATTAATCTTTTTTCACGTTTTTGAACAGAATTGTGTGTGTTGACCATAACCAAGTTCTGAAACAAGGAATAGCTTGCAATAAAGTAATGACAGTTTAGAAATATACATATTTAAATTAGATAAACTTGTTTCTTTAAGCATGTGTACTTCTGTTTGCTTGTGTATTTCTTCCTCTTATTGATTCTCCGCTGACAGTAATGAGAGATACATTTTCACCAAAAGCGATTACAGAACTATGCAATAACCCTAACAAAGCTGAAAGGAGAATTATCAGAAACCATCGAAAATCTCGAAAACGCTCTTTATTCAACTGGTCTTAAGAGATTTTGATTTTTCAAGCCTTTGATTGGTACAGCTAGCTTGTGGACCCAACCTTTCCTCTGATTGGTTATCGCAACAATAAAGTCAGACTGGGTATAGCGGGCATGAATTCTACACTGAATGCGGCTTTATTTAAAAAGTCAGAAGACCATCCAGACGAAAGTAAAAACTACAACTCTCTCGTAACTGGTGCTGCCCGTATGATCAAAAGATAGAAGCCCGGGAATCAAAGGACATTAGGTGTTCTGGTAAACAATTTGAAAGGTATAAATAATTAATAAAACTAAAGCAACCTTCCAGCTACATGTGCGACTCCCATCGAACAACACGGATCGATTAAACTTTTGAGAGGACTTTGAAGTGGTCTTAGTTTACAAATATGATCAGAGTAATATTACCATTGCGATTTTCTGTGGAGAAAAGAAAGTTGCTGTTTTTCTTCGCTATTATTACGATCACTTTGTCGCAGCCTGCGCGAGGCAACGCACCGAAAAGACTCGACAAATCTTGTGAAAATGGTGTTTGTTTCAGAGAAGAAGATCAAGGACCATGTACTTCAAATGACGATGAGCCGAGGCTCTATAGGTGGGAACCTATTAAGGTACATTTTCTGAGAGAATTTATAAGTGATTTTCTTTGGTTAAAACGACAAAAGTGTCAGGATTGAAGGATGTAACTGGCATAGTAAGCTGATATATTTTAGTTTCTAGAGATCGCACTCTAAACTGTAAAGCCTACACTTGAGTTATTTTAGCGTTTTTTCCTACCTAAGAGCTTCATTTCATTATTTACATCTTATATCTTCAGTCTTAAACCAACTTACTCTTAAAGCTTGCTGCCATGCAACATTAAACAGCGACACCATTTTGACTTACCAAACGGAATCGAAATCAAAATGTAAAGCACGTGGTTACCTGTTGAAATAACAAAAGAAACTTTCAACAAATGATAAGTGAAACCCGTAACTTACGCAATATCAAAGGCTGTACTCCACTGATGGTTGAGTCTGGTTAATTACTTGCAAAAACATATATTGCTGACTTTTGATTGGTTTGGATTCAGCTATAGCAAGCTTACTTAATTTCCTGTGAGAGTTTTTTTTGTTATGCATGCTTGCGGTAACGATGTAATCCTAAACACAATGCAGTCCTGATTCTTTGAAAAATTTAAACAACCAAAGAAAGTTATGTTTCCATAGCATCAACAAAACAGGTTAGAGAAGTAACCAGCTCGTTCCCAGGTCATTCGTCTTAGTCTTTTTCTGATACAAAAAAAGGCCCTAAGAACGAGATTAGCGTCGTACTTTTATAAAGTCACTAATGAAAAGTTCTGCTTTGCATCTCAGTCTATAATAAATTATTTTAAACACCCTGGAAAGTGTCCTTCATGTGTCAGCACGTGGGTTTTGGTTTATATTTTTCCGGCACCGATGTAGAAAGGTCACGTGAGAGAGCTTGAGCTCGAGCCAGGAAGAATTTTCAAGATGATAACACTCTCCTCGAAGCCTCCGTTATTTGGTAAGTCAGGCATATAACAGCTTGTTTACTTGGAGAAAAAGTCAAGTTGCTTCTCTGTTGGTATTATGCGAAAGAATTTAGTTCTGTTGAATTATTTCATGATGAAGGAAAGGCTGGCGGTTTTTTTTTCTCGAGGATTCCACGCGCTGTAATTTGGACCCAGTGTATATGAAGCTGGTAGGCAGGTAAAGTCTGCGCACGAACTAAGTGGCCCATTAGGCCGCAGCTTATCTCGGTTTCTACTACCCCTTGGAAAGAATGCATATCCATCACAAGGTTACCCCCGGGAATTAAATTCACCATTACCATTTATGAACCTGGGCGGAGAGACACTGCGAGAGTTAAGTGTCTTGTTCAAGAACACAACCGACAATATCCCCAGCCAGGACTCGAACCCGGACCGCTCGATCCGGAGTCGAGCGCATTAACCATGGGGTCAACGCGCCTCGATCACACAATATGGAACTGGAAAGACTATAAAGAGATGTCTCTCTGAGTTGATTTCTAATCTTTTCAATGCGATATACATATATTAATAACACTACTTTTAACAAACAGAAAAATAAAATCTTGATTTGAGGTAGGAATTAAATCGAGATGATTTCATCATTCGATGGACATCAAAATGACGACCGAAAGTATATAAAAAAATTTAAGAAATTTAAACTAGGCCGTGTTCCTAAGTAATTCACCGCCAAAAGGTGTTGGAAGACGTCCTTATGAGGGTTGATATGAACAGTATCTAACCTGGGAACACCCCAAAATGTGTTCAGGCAATGCGAAGCAAACCTTTCTTAATTTTTACTTTTATAAAGAACTGGGTTGGTCGGGCGCTGGGAAATTAAAGATTTCATGGGAATTGCCAAATCACTTTCATTTTCAATCAACTTTCAAGATTTTGCGCGAGCGAGAGCCTACTTGGGGATGGCCTAAGTTACTGGCCACATATAAAAATGAATAATTTTCTTTATCTGTTAGAAATACCAGATTTTCTGGACGAAAGTGAAAGCAATCACATCATTAGTTTGGCCGAAAAGGTTGGCCTGCGAGGGAGTGATCTCCACCTTGATGAAGAACTCGAGAAAAGCAAAGAAGTGGTTCGAGGTAATCTAAATTACGTATCTATTATCAAGTCTCAAAGTGCTTAAAAGACACTGAATTCAGTGGATGTTTTCTCCATGAAAGTCAATCACAAAGATCCTTAAATATCTGTGCGAAGAGCTGAATCTGTTCAATTCGTACGTTACAGTTCCCGTCTACAGAACTTAAGGAGGATGAGCTTATTATTTTCGTGTAGTCAGGTAGTTAGAACTCAAAATGTACAAGAAACGATTGTGACAACCTAGCTCCCTGGCGATTCAATATATAAAATACAGGGCAGTCCTTGAAGAAGGCATTTTAAAATTTCACGTTTATTTTGAACACGATATCTTTTTAGGAAATGCAAGTGGTTCTGCTGGGAATTTCTTTAATTGGGACAGAAATGAAGATGGAGTCATTTCAAGAGACGAGGTGAATCCACAGAAGATTCTTTCTTGATTGATTTTGTTTCCATTTTAAATCTTACCAGTTTCTATTTTCATGAACGCTTCTTTTTTTCTCGTTTAGATCATTAACTTTGCGGAAGATTTTAAATATCTTTACCTCAGTCCAGAGGAAGTAGATAATATGTAAGTATGGTCAGGACTTGTTTCTACTCCATAAGCTTCTTGCTTCAGTTAAGTTAAGCTCTGAGCTACTCAGCTCCATTCTTTCTTTTATCTTTTAGGATAAGCAAGCTGAACATTGAGGAATTTGATGATGGTAAGGCTCTGACTCGCACCTAGTCGCTATGTGAAAGAAGATTGGATAGCAGAGGGTGCTCAGGGAGTCATTGGAAGGATTTCATTGCGTCCCTTCCTAGGGTGCTCCTTGACCTGTCCTCTCTCGTATCCAGTCTTCCCTCACCCCAGGGCAAGGTTCTAAAAATACGGCTTTTCCGTGATTCTCGTGTATATGACTTGTGCGATAGGCTTTCGACGTTGTTTCAAACACTTTTCTGTAAACTTGTCTCCGACAGAGCAAGTAACCCAAAAAGAGTTTGCCACACTGCCGACAGCTGCCATGGACGAATACATGAACGATATTAAAGAAAAGCACCCAGCACACCGCGAGCGGTTTAGTAACCAGGCCTGGCTACTTCAAGGAAAGCGGGCTGATCACGTGCTACAAAGATTGCGAAAGAGGTAAAGTAGGCAGGAAGTGCTACGCTAATGGCATAATACAAAGCGTTAACCAAGTTTGGAAAATAATCAATGAAGGGAAGGCTTAAAATAAGTCACTTTTTAGTTCAGTTGCAAAGATTAACGCGTATTGAATGTTCTAACACTCAACAGGCTTGCTAAACTTTTGAGGCTTTCAGATCGAACCATAAGAGGAGGCGAACCTCTACAGGTATGTAGTCAAACCCACCCTGTAAAGACTCGCTTGTTCGCTGGCCGTAAGGTGGGTGGTATTTTCGATCCTTCTACGAATCAACTGTTGAAAATTTCAATCTGGCGTGCTATAATACGAGGAAACCTGGGTATAGACCTTACATTCTTACTAAGAAAAAGCTAATCCGAGACCTCTTGTTCCACCCTAGATAGGCCAGAGCTTTTCTATGTTTGTAACTGTAATTAATTTGAAGGATTTGTAAAACCTGGTCGTTTGACGATTTTTTAAATTATACTGATTCACATACTGTTGAAATAAACGTATAGAAAATAAACGAAAGCTACAGTACAGCCCAAAAATAACGCACGCGCAAGAACTCCTGAAGCGTCACTTGTCCGCGAAACTCCTCGACTCTCGGTGTTTCCGGTACTTTTAGGGCGCGTCCTATCAACGAAAAAAGTATATACCTGATTATTCTATGTTTTTAAAAATGCAACATGTACTTTTATTCATTAGGTGGTCAAGTATGATGTAGATGGTCATTATAATGCTCACTATGATAGTCAGAATGTGGCCAATCAATCACACGTTAAATGCTGCCACTTGGAGCTGGCTTTGCTGCCGAACTGTAGAGTCTGCAGGTAACATTGACAACTTTATCTGTAGTCCCTGTCAAGAAAGAAATTCTTTACTTCGGGTCATAGGACACTTTTTTTTTTCTAAAACAAGTTTTTTCAGCTGAGGCGTAAAAGGTGAAGACATGACCCCATCTCTTCCCACAACTTTTGAGAGGGCTTGTCCATTCGTTACAAATCAAGGGAAAAGTATTGGGAACTAACTAAAAATGTTGAAAACTTTTAGAGATGAATCAGGTGTCTAAAACTGCAGTACGACTAGCAAATGTTTACCTTCCTAGAAATGGACCTTAAATTGACAAAAGATGTTCGCCATCAATCTCTAACACTATGTGTCGATACCTGAGACAAATGAATTTTATTTTCTATTACAGGTACGCTACAGTGTTGTACTATCTAAATGATGTGAAGTACGGAGGAGAAACTGCGTTTCCTGTTGTCGACGAGAACACTTTTGATAAACAGGTTGGCTTACAATCTCAGTGCAATCCCGATTTTTCGAACCTCCCGTCGATAATGCATTCGAACCAAACGTCGCACGGTTTCTCTCCCCTCAGTACAACATCGAATTTCAACCCATATTTCATGAACTACCCGATTATTCAAAACAATTTTCGTTCCCCTTGGAGGTTCGACAAAGCGGGAAACATGCATAGTATATTGAGTTAAAGGCGCCTTTTACTTCTCGAGGTATAGTTATGAAATAAGTTATCCCAAACTAACGCCTTATCCTAATTTGCACTGCACCGTCTTCTTTTCCCAGGCATGGATCAATACCATGCAACACGACAAGTTTAACTTAATGCAGTACTGTCACGATGGTAACCTAGTGGTATCACCAAAACGAGGCAAGGCGGTCATGTGGTACAATCACTTCGTAGATGAAGAAACAGGTTGGTTGGGAGAGATGGATGAATATTCCCTGCACGGCGGCTGTGGTCTGTGGTCTGGAGTCAAGTGGATTGCCAACAACTGGATTACATCCACTGACGCACCGTGGGCTCATTTTAAAAGCGATCACGATACCGAAGACAGATAAGCGGCTGATATCAACAAAATAGATCCTTATTAGAATGTTCAGAGCCTTTCTATTTTTCAACGCACTCGATGGAAAAAGCGAGGGCGAACGCACATAGGGGTGGGGGCGGGATAGGCAAGACGTATTACAAACGAGATCACAAATGTCTTTGCGTCGGACTCGATCGCAATAAATTGTTATTAAATGGCTCGTTATTGACAACAAAGTACATCGGCTCCGTTTAGTCAGGAAGTCACGTGTGCCCACGGACGATTTTTCATAATCCTTCATAGAATCAACGGAACGTCAANAGATTTTGATTTTTCAAGCCTTTGATTGGTACAGCTAGCTTGTGGACCCAACCTTTCCTCTGATTGGTTATCGCAACAATAAAGTCAGACTGGGTATAGCGGGCATGAATTCTACACTGAATGCGGCTTTATTTAAAAAGTCAGAAGACCATCCAGACGAAAGTAAAAACTACAACTCTCTCGTAACTGGTGCTGCCCGTATGATCAAAAGATAGAAGCCCGGGAATCAAAGGACATTAGGTGTTCTGGTAAACAATTTGAAAGGTATAAATAATTAATAAAACTAAAGCAACCTTCCAGCTACATGTGCGACTCCCATCGAACAACACGGATCGATTAAACTTTTGAGAGGACTTTGAAGTGGTCTTAGTTTACAAATATGATCAGAGTAATATTACCATTGCGATTTTCTGTGGAGAAAAGAAAGTTGCTGTTTTTCTTCGCTATTATTACGATCACTTTGTCGCAGCCTGCGCGAGGCAACGCACCGAAAAGACTCGACAAATCTTGTGAAAATGGTGTTTGTTTCAGAGAAGAAGATCAAGGACCATGTACTTCAAATGACGATGAGCCGAGGCTCTATAGGTGGGAACCTATTAAGGTACATTTTCTGAGAGAATTTATAAGTGATTTTCTTTGGTTAAAACGACAAAAGTGTCAGGATTGAAGGATGTAACTGGCATAGTAAGCTGATATATTTTAGTTTCTAGAGATCGCACTCTAAACTGTAAAGCCTACACTTGAGTTATTTTAGCGTTTTTTCCTACCTAAGAGCTTCATTTCATTATTTACATCTTATATCTTCAGTCTTAAACCAACTTACTCTTAAAGCTTGCTGCCATGCAACATTAAACAGCGACACCATTTTGACTTACCAAACGGAATCGAAATCAAAATGTAAAGCACGTGGTTACCTGTTGAAATAACAAAAGAAACTTTCAACAAATGATAAGTGAAACCCGTAACTTACGCAATATCAAAGGCTGTACTCCACTGATGGTTGAGTCTGGTTAATTACTTGCAAAAACATATATTGCTGACTTTTGATTGGTTTGGATTCAGCTATAGCAAGCTTACTTAATTTCCTGTGAGAGTTTTTTTTGTTATGCATGCTTGCGGTAACGATGTAATCCTAAACACAATGCAGTCCTGATTCTTTGAAAAATTTAAACAACCAAAGAAAGTTATGTTTCCATAGCATCAACAAAACAGGTTAGAGAAGTAACCAGCTCGTTCCCAGGTCATTCGTCTTAGTCTTTTTCTGATACAAAAAAAGGCCCTAAGAACGAGATTAGCGTCGTACTTTTATAAAGTCACTAATGAAAAGTTCTGCTTTGCATCTCAGTCTATAATAAATTATTTTAAACACCCTGGAAAGTGTCCTTCATGTGTCAGCACGTGGGTTTTGGTTTATATTTTTCCGGCACCGATGTAGAAAGGTCACGTGAGAGAGCTTGAGCTCGAGCCAGGAAGAATTTTCAAGATGATAACACTCTCCTCGAAGCCTCCGTTATTTGGTAAGTCAGGCATATAACAGCTTGTTTACTTGGAGAAAAAGTCAAGTTGCTTCTCTGTTGGTATTATGCGAAAGAATTTAGTTCTGTTGAATTATTTCATGATGAAGGAAAGGCTGGCGGTTTTTTTTTCTCGAGGATTCCACGCGCTGTAATTTGGACCCAGTGTATATGAAGCTGGTAGGCAGGTAAAGTCTGCGCACGAACTAAGTGGCCCATTAGGCCGCAGCTTATCTCGGTTTCTACTACCCCTTGGAAAGAATGCATATCCATCACAAGGTTACCCCCGGGAATTAAATTCACCATTACCATTTATGAACCTGGGCGGAGAGACACTGCGAGAGTTAAGTGTCTTGTTCAAGAACACAACCGACAATATCCCCAGCCAGGACTCGAACCCGGACCGCTCGATCCGGAGTCGAGCGCATTAACCATGGGGTCAACGCGCCTCGATCACACAATATGGAACTGGAAAGACTATAAAGAGATGTCTCTCTGAGTTGATTTCTAATCTTTTCAATGCGATATACATATATTAATAACACTACTTTTAACAAACAGAAAAATAAAATCTTGATTTGAGGTAGGAATTAAATCGAGATGATTTCATCATTCGATGGACATCAAAATGACGACCGAAAGTATATAAAAAAATTTAAGAAATTTAAACTAGGCCGTGTTCCTAAGTAATTCACCGCCAAAAGGTGTTGGAAGACGTCCTTATGAGGGTTGATATGAACAGTATCTAACCTGGGAACACCCCAAAATGTGTTCAGGCAATGCGAAGCAAACCTTTCTTAATTTTTACTTTTATAAAGAACTGGGTTGGTCGGGCGCTGGGAAATTAAAGATTTCATGGGAATTGCCAAATCACTTTCATTTTCAATCAACTTTCAAGATTTTGCGCGAGCGAGAGCCTACTTGGGGATGGCCTAAGTTACTGGCCACATATAAAAATGAATAATTTTCTTTATCTGTTAGAAATACCAGATTTTCTGGACGAAAGTGAAAGCAATCACATCATTAGTTTGGCCGAAAAGGTTGGCCTGCGAGGGAGTGATCTCCACCTTGATGAAGAACTCGAGAAAAGCAAAGAAGTGGTTCGAGGTAATCTAAATTACGTATCTATTATCAAGTCTCAAAGTGCTTAAAAGACACTGAATTCAGTGGATGTTTTCTCCATGAAAGTCAATCACAAAGATCCTTAAATATCTGTGCGAAGAGCTGAATCTGTTCAATTCGTACGTTACAGTTCCCGTCTACAGAACTTAAGGAGGATGAGCTTATTATTTTCGTGTAGTCAGGTAGTTAGAACTCAAAATGTACAAGAAACGATTGTGACAACCTAGCTCCCTGGCGATTCAATATATAAAATACAGGGCAGTCCTTGAAGAAGGCATTTTAAAATTTCACGTTTATTTTGAACACGATATCTTTTTAGGAAATGCAAGTGGTTCTGCTGGGAATTTCTTTAATTGGGACAGAAATGAAGATGGAGTCATTTCAAGAGACGAGGTGAATCCACAGAAGATTCTTTCTTGATTGATTTTGTTTCCATTTTAAATCTTACCAGTTTCTATTTTCATGAACGCTTCTTTTTTTCTCGTTTAGATCATTAACTTTGCGGAAGATTTTAAATATCTTTACCTCAGTCCAGAGGAAGTAGATAATATGTAAGTATGGTCAGGACTTGTTTCTACTCCATAAGCTTCTTGCTTCAGTTAAGTTAAGCTCTGAGCTACTCAGCTCCATTCTTTCTTTTATCTTTTAGGATAAGCAAGCTGAACATTGAGGAATTTGATGATGGTAAGGCTCTGACTCGCACCTAGTCGCTATGTGAAAGAAGATTGGATAGCAGAGGGTGCTCAGGGAGTCATTGGAAGGATTTCATTGCGTCCCTTCCTAGGGTGCTCCTTGACCTGTCCTCTCTCGTATCCAGTCTTCCCTCACCCCAGGGCAAGGTTCTAAAAATACGGCTTTTCCGTGATTCTCGTGTATATGACTTGTGCGATAGGCTTTCGACGTTGTTTCAAACACTTTTCTGTAAACTTGTCTCCGACAGAGCAAGTAACCCAAAAAGAGTTTGCCACACTGCCGACAGCTGCCATGGACGAATACATGAACGATATTAAAGAAAAGCACCCAGCACACCGCGAGCGGTTTAGTAACCAGGCCTGGCTACTTCAAGGAAAGCGGGCTGATCACGTGCTACAAAGATTGCGAAAGAGGTAAAGTAGGCAGGAAGTGCTACGCTAATGGCATAATACAAAGCGTTAACCAAGTTTGGAAAATAATCAATGAAGGGAAGGCTTAAAATAAGTCACTTTTTAGTTCAGTTGCAAAGATTAACGCGTATTGAATGTTCTAACACTCAACAGGCTTGCTAAACTTTTGAGGCTTTCAGATCGAACCATAAGAGGAGGCGAACCTCTACAGGTATGTAGTCAAACCCACCCTGTAAAGACTCGCTTGTTCGCTGGCCGTAAGGTGGGTGGTATTTTCGATCCTTCTACGAATCAACTGTTGAAAATTTCAATCTGGCGTGCTATAATACGAGGAAACCTGGGTATAGACCTTACATTCTTACTAAGAAAAAGCTAATCCGAGACCTCTTGTTCCACCCTAGATAGGCCAGAGCTTTTCTATGTTTGTAACTGTAATTAATTTGAAGGATTTGTAAAACCTGGTCGTTTGACGATTTTTTAAATTATACTGATTCACATACTGTTGAAATAAACGTATAGAAAATAAACGAAAGCTACAGTACAGCCCAAAAATAACGCACGCGCAAGAACTCCTGAAGCGTCACTTGTCCGCGAAACTCCTCGACTCTCGGTGTTTCCGGTACTTTTAGGGCGCGTCCTATCAACGAAAAAAGTATATACCTGATTATTCTATGTTTTTAAAAATGCAACATGTACTTTTATTCATTAGGTGGTCAAGTATGATGTAGATGGTCATTATAATGCTCACTATGATAGTCAGAATGTGGCCAATCAATCACACGTTAAATGCTGCCACTTGGAGCTGGCTTTGCTGCCGAACTGTAGAGTCTGCAGGTAACATTGACAACTTTATCTGTAGTCCCTGTCAAGAAAGAAATTCTTTACTTCGGGTCATAGGACACTTTTTTTTTTCTAAAACAAGTTTTTTCAGCTGAGGCGTAAAAGGTGAAGACATGACCCCATCTCTTCCCACAACTTTTGAGAGGGCTTGTCCATTCGTTACAAATCAAGGGAAAAGTATTGGGAACTAACTAAAAATGTTGAAAACTTTTAGAGATGAATCAGGTGTCTAAAACTGCAGTACGACTAGCAAATGTTTACCTTCCTAGAAATGGACCTTAAATTGACAAAAGATGTTCGCCATCAATCTCTAACACTATGTGTCGATACCTGAGACAAATGAATTTTATTTTCTATTACAGGTACGCTACAGTGTTGTACTATCTAAATGATGTGAAGTACGGAGGAGAAACTGCGTTTCCTGTTGTCGACGAGAACACTTTTGATAAACAGGTTGGCTTACAATCTCAGTGCAATCCCGATTTTTCGAACCTCCCGTCGATAATGCATTCGAACCAAACGTCGCACGGTTTCTCTCCCCTCAGTACAACATCGAATTTCAACCCATATTTCATGAACTACCCGATTATTCAAAACAATTTTCGTTCCCCTTGGAGGTTCGACAAAGCGGGAAACATGCATAGTATATTGAGTTAAAGGCGCCTTTTACTTCTCGAGGTATAGTTATGAAATAAGTTATCCCAAACTAACGCCTTATCCTAATTTGCACTGCACCGTCTTCTTTTCCCAGGCATGGATCAATACCATGCAACACGACAAGTTTAACTTAATGCAGTACTGTCACGATGGTAACCTAGTGGTATCACCAAAACGAGGCAAGGCGGTCATGTGGTACAATCACTTCGTAGATGAAGAAACAGGTTGGTTGGGAGAGATGGATGAATATTCCCTGCACGGCGGCTGTGGTCTGTGGTCTGGAGTCAAGTGGATTGCCAACAACTGGATTACATCCACTGACGCACCGTGGGCTCATTTTAAAAGCGATCACGATACCGAAGACAGATAAGCGGCTGATATCAACAAAATAGATCCTTATTAGAATGTTCAGAGCCTTTCTATTTTTCAACGCACTCGATGGAAAAAGCGAGGGCGAACGCACATAGGGGTGGGGGCGGGATAGGCAAGACGTATTACAAACGAGATCACAAATGTCTTTGCGTCGGACTCGATCGCAATAAATTGTTATTAAATGGCTCGTTATTGACAACAAAGTACATCGGCTCCGTTTAGTCAGGAAGTCACGTGTGCCCACGGACGATTTTTCATAATCCTTCATAGAATCAACGGAACGTCAACTGCTTGGAATTCTTTGGACTGTTGCATATGCTAACTTTCCTTACTCTTCTGAATGGCGTTAGAGTGCTATCCTTCTTCAAATGTTTATCCGTAGAATTTCTATAAGCTTGTTTCTCCCTCACTTTGTAATAAAATAAAGTGAAAACAAAACAAGGTAGTTTGGGACTGGAGTTTATTTCGATTTATTTGCTTGTAAAATCATATTTTCCCAGCACAATAAGATCACTGTTTTTCTTTTCATGTCATGAAGAACGTTTGAAACTTTCAACAAGAATCAGCAGTCACTTCTTTCTACCTGTCTGTCTTCCCCTGAACTCAAACATAACTCAACTGTTAAATCTTGGCACAAACTCATGTGCACCACAATTTTTTTTATTTGACAATATTTGCCAACGCCGATTTAATTTCTGGGAACTGAAACTTGTAACCCAGTTCTAATGTCCGTTTAGGGATAACTTTCTGTCCTTCCAAAAGCAGTTTCCCGCGTTCTTGACTAAATATAAAATTGACAACAAATGCGGGTGTTGGAAGAATGGCAGGTCTCCACAGTGCGCCTGCGTATTCCTTTGTAAAGCGCTCGTTCGTCACAATTTCCGGTGCTACTCCGTTCAAAACACCAGTCACGTGATCGTTTTCGAGGGCGTGAACAATCATTCCAGTCATGTCATCGATGTGGATCCAAGGAAAATACTGTTTGCCGCTTCCTATTATGCCTAGGAAAAAAAACCCGATAATTTACTTATTGACTGAGTGGAAAAGCCGGAGGGGAAACTATTTGGCTAGAGATCAGGACGTACGGACCGAAAGCAGCGAGATCCGTGCGTCCAGACCGAGAGGTTAGTTCACTTGACTTTCGACCATTTGTCAGTTCGAGTTTCCATTCCTAGCAGTATGGTTGTATAGCCCTTTGCCTTTACCGAACTCTCACTTTCTGAAATTTCTACTTCGAGTTAAGCATTCGATTTTTATTAAGATCAGTTTTCTGTTTTCTAAGTTCTGTACCTTTCGGCAGGTCAGTGTTTTTTTGTTTTCTTTTTAACTTGAAGTTGATAGTGTTATCCCTGCATTACAAATGATAGCTGATCCTTACCCCTATCCTAATGAGGCTAACTGGAGTATCATTGAGGCTTAAATTTTATACCTCAGTCGAATTTTTTACCCGAACTTGAACACATGAAAAGGACAATTCCAACTTTTAGTTTGAATAACAGTCTATAATGGTAAACGAGTTGCTTCTTTTATGTAATCGGCTTGCAATTCAATCAGTTGCGATAG